CACCCTATATCTTCTGCAAGCACAGCTCTAATACCAAGCTTTAATTAGTACATTAACTGTGTAATGAATAAGCCCTGTAGTATTTATTATGAATTCTGACCAATTATTGCATCATCGTGAACCCATACCTCAGTCTTTTAAATATGAATAATCTCACTGACATCTGCTTTAAATACTTTTTACATTTTCACAGTTGCTCAGCCACGTTGCTGATAGATCTGTGGTTATCGGTTACTGTGTATACAGAATCAAAAAGATCTAAAACTGCCTTAAGAAAGTTTAATGTCCTCTCATTCCAAGATGGAAAATACCCACCGCACACAAAATAGCACCATTATTGCAGAACTAAGAGTTAGTTTCAATGGCCCTGGAAGTTTAAGATAGCCGGTGTCTGTAGTTCTGCCTGATCTCAGCAGCTCTGCTTGGAATTTAGTTGAAGCCTGAACTCGAAATAAACAAACAATTTCACGTGTGCTGAAAACCCACCTGTGCCCTAANAAAAGGAACTACTTTTTTTTAGAAGTACTATTGACTTTTGAAACTATATTTCTTCTGTTAAAAACTCTTTATAAATAGTGGGGGAGGGGAGAAAGGGAGGGGGAAAAGGAACGGGTAAAGGGTCACGAAAATCAACTACAATGTATATTGAGAAGTTAAAATAAAAAAAAAGATTAGAGAAAGGGGGAAAAAACTTTCGATAAAGTCTTTTCTCAATAAAACAGTCTGGCTAGTATGTGAAAAGTGGATTATAAAGAAAAGATGGGTTGGAAAAAAGACAAGTTAGGAAACAAAGCAAACCAAAAATGATGATTGTGGTGGTGGAGATAGTCATGGAGAAGAGAACATATTCCAGATTTTCTTTTAAAGAGATCAAACTGAGAAGACTTGCATACTTGATCTGCTTAAAGGAAAGGACAAAATCAAAGATGATATCTAATTCCTTGGCTTGAACCAGTGAATGGAAGCAGATAACATTTCAGCTGGGAAAGACTTGGGGGTGGGGGTGGGGGAGCAGGGTTGGAACCAGTGGTAGAAATCAAGAGCTGAGTGTTCGGTGTATTAAATTTGGGATGCTTATTAGATCTCCAAGTGGGGATATCAATAAAAAAAGTCTGATGCATGAGCCTGGGGCTCAGGAAAGAAGTGAGAGTTGGAGATACAAACTTTAGAATCATTAGGTATAATTGGTGTTTAAATCTCTAGGATTGGATGGATACCATAGGGAGAGGACAGGCAGAAGATAAAGAAAACAAAAATATATTTGTATTATATTATAGAAATAATAGAAGAATAGGAAATAGCATGCATCTCATACAGAAGTACTAGCTCATAAACTTTATTTCTGAGACAGATGATAGGTAGGTGTACATAAAAACAGACACATGTAATTTATTCATTTATGAATTTACTGTGAATAATGTACATCCTATTGTAGGTTGTGGCCCAAAACAATTCAAATTCTAGAAATCAAGAGCTGAGTGTTCGGTGTATTAAATTTGGGATGCTTATTAGATCTCCAAGTGGGGATATCAATAAAAAAAGTCTGATGCATGAGCCTGGGGCTCAGGAAAGAAGTGAGAGTTGGAGATACAAACTTTAGAATCATTAGGTATAATTGGTGTTTAAATCTCTAGGATTGGATGGATACCATAGGGAGAGGACAGGCAGAAGATAAAGAAAACAAAAATATATTTGTATTATATTATAGAAATATAATAGAATAGGAAATAGCATGCATCTCACATGGAAGTACTAGCTCATAAACTTTATTTCTGACAGATGATAGGTAGATATACATATAAAAAGACACATGTAATTTATTCATTTATGAATTTACTGTGAATAATGTACTTCCTATTGTAGGCTGTGGTCAAAAAGAATTCAAATTCTAGAGAAGAAGAAGCCAGGAAAAGCTAAACAATTAGCTACCGTGGTAGGAAGAACACCATGGAAGGACAGTATACAAAAGTCAAAAGAAATGCTTCTCGAAGAGAATGCTTAACTGTACAGGATGAGTATGACAGGTTAAGTTCAGTTAGGACTGATAAGCACCCACCAGCTTGGTAATATGGAGGCCATTTGTTACTGACCTTGACAAGGGCAGCTTCAGTGAATGATGGGGGTAGGCAACAATTGAGAATAAATGGGAGGTGAGAAAGCAGAGACAACCAGTAGAGAAGGAAAACCTCCCTAGGAACCTGAATTCACTATGTGAAAAGGCTTGTCCAAGTTTTAAAACAAACTAAGCTTTGAATTCCTTGGGGCAGACCCCGTCATAAATTCTGTGTCCCTGGTGCCCAGCAGGCACTCGACATTCAGTCTGCTGAACTGAATGAAATCAGAAAACAGGAGACCTAAGCCTAAAAGGCAGAGGCTCTTAATCTGAACTCCACGTTGTGGTTTATGGAAGGTGAGTCCATGAAATCTCTGAAATAGAAAAGTAAGAACAATTGTTTTAAGGGCACATAACTAAACTATCCAGCAACTCCCTACCTTTCAGCCAGTGCTGATGACATAGTGCTTGTTATGGACTGAATTGTGTCCCTCCCCTAAAATTCATAGGTTGGAGTCCTAACCCCCAATGTGACTATATTTGAAGATAAGGCCTTTAAAGAGATAATTAACGTTAAATGAGGTCATAGGGGCAAGGGCCCTAATCCAGTATGACTAGTGTTCTAAGAGGACATTAGGACACAGACACAGAGGAAAAACCACATGAAGACACAGAGAGAACACCTCGATCTAGAAGTGAAGGAGAGAGGCACAGAATGTTAGAACATTTAACTGTGGTGTCACAGTAAAGCAAAACCAAACATTAAATATACATATGAGTATATAAGTACAAGTACATATAAACGCAGATGCACAAGCACACCCTATATCTTCTGCAAGCACAGCTCTAATACCAAGCTTTAATTAGTACATTAACTGTGTAATGAATAAGCCCTGTAGTATTTATTATGAATTCTGACCAATTATTGCATCATCGTGAACCCATACCTCAGTCTTTTAAATATGAATAATCTCACTGACATCTGCTTTAAATACTTTTTACATTTTCACAGTTGCTCAGCCACGTTGCTGATAGATCTGTGGTTATCGGTTACTGTGTATACAGAATCAAAAAGATCTAAAACTGCCTTAAGAAAGTTTAATGTCCTCTCATTCCAAGATGGAAAATAACCACTGCACACAAAATAGCACCATTATTGCAGAACTAAGAGTTAGTTTCAATGGCCCTGGAAGTTTAAGATAGCCGGTGTCTGTAGTTCTGCCTGATCTCAGCAGCTCTGCTTGGAATTTAGTTG